CGCACATACAGTCACACACCTGCAAAGATTTTGTTAATTAAAGTTAACTTCCTTATTTATTTATTTATTTATTTATATTGGAAAGCATATTTTCTCTCTTGGTCTATTTGCACTGCTTTATTTTAGCTTCATCTGATGCACTGGAACTCCACATTATACAGCAGCATTGATGAGGCAGTAGGGAAGAAGCACGGCATAGCGATCGTTGCTTTGTTTGTGCAGGTAAGATTCCTGTCTTGTTTATCATGTACTATCATTTGTCTGAAGAAAATGAGATACTTTCTGTTTTCTTTCATTTTAAATGATGCTATAAAATAAAACAATGTATGACTGCTAGTATTTTATTTGGAAGATATTTTTCTGTCGTGTGTTCTATGCATGTGCTAAATAAGCAAGTCTTGTTTTTAAATAGTATCTTGAAAGTATATTAGTTAAAGAATGGAAAATACAAGGTCAAGCCTTTTTATGTGATTCTGGTTATAAACAAACCTCCACTCTCCATTCCTCTGGGGGCAGAAGGAGTTACAGTGTCCATTTGAGCTCTAAAGGGATATTGCTGCTTCACTATTTCTGTAACATGTTCTCCATTCCTGACCAGGACCATTGTTCCGTGACTGAAAAAATATACAAAGGAAAGGAGAGGGAAAAAAAAAAAGAAAAAAAAAAACAAAAAAGCCTACAGACCCATTGGAATTGGCACAGCCCAAAGTTGCAGGATTGTATGGGATTGTTCCTCTCTAAACACAAGGACAAGAGCGTTTCTTCACAAAGGAGAAATGTGTAGTAGGAAGATATTCTTCAGAGACATCAGATGTAACACTGTAATGAGTGGGCAAACCCTCAGAAAAGCCCAGAAGAGGATGCTCAAAGCCTCTTGGTGAGAAGATGCAAGCTAGGGAGCTAGCCAACAATCTAATTGCTGTTGGAGATATTTCAAGGGCTACACCCCATAAGAAAGGTTATAGTTTCCAAATACTAGTTTCTCACCTTCCTCACGAGAAGCAGCTAACTGTTGCATTTAAATTCGTTTAGAGGAAAAAAAAATCAGAATTAGAATTAGATCAAATGAATTTTCTTCTACAGCGGTATTATTAATTTGTCATATTTCATAATGACTTTATGAGTGCCTTTGAGCTGTCTGAGTTGAAAGGTATTTCGGTTGCAGATCCAACATTGAGAAAGAACTGCTAAAAATGGATGTTAAGACAGTCTTCATTCTCTCAATTTTGTGTCCTAGAGGGCTATGTCATAACTTCTTATGTAAGTCACCTTGTAATTCCAGCAGAGGTAACCTTGGAATTAGTTAGGAAGTTATATTTGAGTTCTTAAATAAATCTGAAACCATTTTCCATTTCTGGTATCTCACCTCAATTAGTGTTCTTAAACATTCCAGGATGCTTTCTCAGAAGCCAAGAAGGGCTCCATATAATTAAAACTGACTGAAGAAAAACAGTATTTATGTATTAACAGTATTAACAATATTAAAGGGATGGGGAGAGCAAGTTCTATCACATTTTTTTCCGATTAAAGACACAGAAAATAATCATTAATTATTCTCAGAAAAATACTGTTGTTGAGGGCAGCAAAAATATTTTCATTGACTTAAATGGGTGACCTTGGTGGTGACTAAGCTAGAAACCACATCTCTAACGTAATTTGTTTGACCTACTTTGAAGGTTTTAAACTGAATCCCAGTCTGAAACAAGCAAGCAAAGGAATCCTCCTGATTTCCTAGAAATACAGACTATGTTTTGTAGATGATCAATTGTTTCCTTCTAATGACTACTGCTGTGCTGTGTTCCAAAAAACCACAAAAAGT